TTTAAATTTAAGTTTGGGAGAATACAGTGACCTCCAGCAGCAATTTTGTTAAGAGCAAATAGTCTAATCAGTGTTCGTAAACCAAACAAACCAGTTCCGGAGTATGACCGAAGGACCAGCCATCATTGTATATATAAAAGCCTTCCTCTTGAATGACTCTATATTACTCTCTATTGCTCTATATTGCTGCATACTGCATTAAAATCCGTTGCGTTCAATAGATCTAAACGAACAGACAGCGAAAGCGACTTCATTTTATACTATGTAAAGAAGTATGTATATATACATACTAGCTGTGCCCCGCGGCATTGTCTGCATAATGAAAAAATATTCAATACTTAAACCCAAAAAAGCCAAAAGAAGTTTCATCGCCCTAGCCTCATAAATGATTTATTTTTCATACAAAACATTTATCCCCTATTTTATTTTACCCCCTAATAAAATTTTCACAAACCTTGAATGTCATATTTATTTATATTTAATCAACAGCATAAAAAATAAGATTCAATCTTCTAACATTAAAAATGACGATGCATCCCATATACATTTTCATCCCCCCTTTCAACCCCTTTACAACATTTCTATCACATTAAAAAGTATCTTATGTCCTTTCACAGAGTTTAGAGTATCTGTGTACCAAATTTTATTAAAATCGGTTCAGTAGTTTTGGCGAAAGCGAGATAGATAGACAGACAGACAGTGTTACTTTCGCATTTATAATATTAGTAGGTATAATAATAATAATAATCTCAGGACAATTCACACAGCGCCATCTAGACTCAAGTTAAGCTAGATAAAGCTTGTGTTATACGTACTAGATAACTGATACAAATACATAGATTTTTTTTTTTGTAAATACATACATATTATACATAGAAAACACCCAGACCGATACAAACAATCATACTCATGAATACAAATGTTTGTGTCGTGCGAGGAATCGAACCCGCGACCATCGGACGTAAAGCAGTGTGCTAGACCGCTAGATCACCGAGGTTGTTAAATATATATATATACATATTAACTGGTTTAAAAAGAGAAAGATATTCTTTAACTCTTTCACTAACAAAACCTTAAAACTGTATAATCAAATTTTTAAACAACCTCAGTGGTTCAGGACAACCTTCCACGATGATCGTAGGTTCAATATACACACACAAACATCTGTATTCATGAGTATATTTATTAATTAATTAATTATTTATCTGTACTTTTAGAGAACCAAGAAAGAATAGGTACCTATACATTGTTAATTAAAATTACATAACATCATATTTATCAGTAGTAAATAACTAAAGTTGTTTGTAATTTTACAAATTTGTATGTGTTTTGTAGATGATTACAATTTTTTTTATCAATACGATAATATCATGATTGTATAATATTCAATGTCATTATATAATTAATAATAATAATAATAATAGCACTGGATAGCACGCCATCTAGCCCCAAGCTAAGCATAGGGAGAATGAGATTGTTAGTGGAGTGTAGTGGAGACTAATAATCCCATTGCTAGCAATGGGTCAGGTTGACACATGACAATGGGTCACCTTGGACAAATCATACAGCGCCATCTAGTCCCAAGCTAAGCATAGGGAGAATGAGATTGTTAGTGGAGTCTAGTGGAGACTAATAATCCCATTGCTAGCAATGGGTCAGGTTGACACATGACAATGGGTCACCTTGGACAAATCATACAGCGCCATCTAGTCCCAAGCTAAGCATAGGGAGAATGAGATTGTTAGTGGAGTGTAGTGGAGACTAATAATCCCATTGCTAGCAATGGGTCAGGTTGACACATGACAATGGGTCACCTTGGACAAATCATACAGCGCCATCTAGCCCCAAGCTAAGCATAGGGAGAATGAGATTGTTAGTGGAGTGTAGTGGAGACTAATAATCCCATTGCTAGCAATGGGTCAGGTTGACACATGACAATGGGTCACCTTGGACAAATCATACAGCGCCATCTAGTCCCAAGCTAAGCATAGGGAGAATGAGATTGTTAGTGGAGTGTTGTGGAGATTAATAATTCCATTGCTAGCAATGGGTCAGGTTGATACATGACAATGGGTCACCTTGGACAAATCATACAGCGCCATCTAGTCCCAAGCTAAGCATAGGGAGAATGAGATTGTTAGTGGAGTGTAGTGGAGACTAATAATCCCATTGCTAGCAATGGGTCAGGTTGACACATGACAATGGGTCACCTTGGACAAATCATACAGCGCCATCTAGCCCCAAGCTAAGCATAGGGAGAATGAGATTGTTAGTGGAGTCTAGTGGAGACTAATAATCCCATTGCTAGCAATGGGTCAGGTTGACACATGACAATGGGTCACCTTGGACAAATCATACAGCGCCATCTAGTCCCAAGCTTGTGTTATGGGTACTAGACTTCATCATCTGTTTCTTCCTTATCCCATTTATTTATGGTCAGCGTAATGTCTTTCTGGGGGGAATAGGATTGTTAGTAATGTGGACTTATGACCTCATTAATGTACCATGTCAGGTTGACCTCCACGCGGTTCCCCCTGGAAATCATCGTGATAAATTCATGGCGAATTTACCACGATGGGCTAACTGGCCTGACCTCATTCTCATCTTATCATCCTCCACTGGTGCCCCGCCAGCGTAAACCGTTAACGCAGGCGGCTGTACCATTCCATTATCATCCATAAAAAAAAATGTTTTTCTGGGGGAAAGGGGATTGTTAGTAATGTGGACTGATGATCTCATTGCTAGCAATATACCACCAATCATCGTGATTAATTTCTTTTTGAATTTGTCACGATGTGCTAACTGACCTGACCTCATGTTCATCTTATCATCCTCCACTGGTGCCCCGTCAGCGTAAACCGTTAGCGAGTGCAACATTCCACTATCATAAAAAAAAACCAACAACGTGACACGTAATTTTTATATATAAAGACTATTTAACCCGAGGAAGTTCGTCAGCGTCACATTGTCCCCGTTTTTACATTTTTTATTTCTGCTCCGCTCCTATTAGTCGTAGCGTGATGTTATATAGCCTATAGCATTCCTCGATAAATGTACTATCCAACATTGAAAGAATTATCAAAATCGGATCAGTAATATCAGATATTACTCCGAACATTCAAACTCACAAATTTCCTCTTTACAATACTAGTACTACCCGCCCAGGCTTTGCACAGACGTATATGTATTATACATATAAGCCTTCCTCTTGGATCTATCTATTGTTAAAAACTGCATTAAAATTCGTTGCGTTGTTTAAAAGATCTAAGCGAACAGACAGAGGAAACGACTTAATTTTATATATCTATAAGTGTATGTATGTAGATACAGGTTAAAAAGTATCATCATCATTACATAGTATAAAACAAAGTCGCTGTCACTGTTTGTCCCTATGTATGATTAAATCTTTAAAACTACGCAACGGATTTTGACGCGGTTTTTTAATAGATAGAGTGATTCTAGAGGAAGGTATATATATATAATACATATACACCCGTGCGAAGCCGGGGTGAGTAGCTAGTATATATATACATCTTTACCGGTTTAAAACGAGCAAGAATCTCGTTATTTCTTCCTCTAATAAAACCTTAAAGCTGTATAATCGAACTTTTTTGACAACCCCAATGGTTCAGCACACCGCCATACGCGATGGTCGTGGGTTCAATGTACATACAAAAAAAATTCTTCTTGCGCATAAAACACCTTTATATTGATATTGGAGCTTTTGTATGTACATATTTTTTATTCCTCCTACGTAAACGTTATACACTAGAGGGGCACTAGTGGAGATTAAAGGTAGGTCAGTTAGTCAACAAAAAACGACTACATCTAGGGGTGACCGCGTGGAGGTCGACTTGACACGGCATGCTATCAGTTGGGTCATTGTGGGGGAGAAGGGGGTGGACTGATAACAATAGTACCATTGCTAGCGATGTACCATGTCAGGTTGACCTCCACGCGGTTCCCCCTGGAAACCATAATGATAAATTCTTGGAGAATTTGTCACAATGGGTTAACTGAGCTGAGCTCATGCTCATCTTATCATCCTCCACTGGCGCCCCGCCAGCGTAAACCGTCAGCGCAGGCGGGTACACCATACCATTATCATCCATAAAAAAACCTCAAAAAAGCGAGTTGCTTTGTAAACTGTTTCAGTTGTTAAGTCATATTAGGCAATGAAATTACAGGATAAGAGGCATGATATTTTAGTCTCGGAATCACAAGGCATGAGTGGTATCACGTATATCAACTGATGACGTGATGACGTGATGACAATAGTGTTCATATAGGTGATGGTACCGCTACCATCAGGGAGACCGTCAAATTTACCACTTACTATTCCAATTAGAAACAATATATGTATATATTAATATTATAAACGTTAAAGTTTGTGAGTATGTATGGATGGATGTTTGTTACTCTTTCAGGCAAAAGCTACTGAACGAATTTTGATTAAACTTTTCAGTAATATAGCTTAAACATCAGAATAACACATAGACTATAATTTAAAAATATATTATGTAAATTGGCCGAAATATAGTGATAAATGTCAAGCAAGTGTAATGCAGACGAAGTTGCATGTGTTAGCTAGTATAGCATAAAGTAACTGAAAACCTTTTGTATAAATAATTTATGAAACAATATATATAATATAATATTTATAACATACACATAAAACTGTGTATAAATATGTATGTATTGGTAATTCTTACTCTAAGACAAGATACATGCAACTGTCTTCCTTAAGGATTGGTACTAGATTTCATTTTCGTTTAACAATGCTGGAAACTCTATTTTTAAATTCATATTATGTGCAGCATTAATTGTTCTACAGATAAAAAGAAGTTCCTAATTTGAAAATTTTCAAAATAAGAACATAAATTCTTAAGTTAAATGTGTATTTTTAATTTGTGCTGTAAATATATGAAACGATTTGATATATGTGTATTATATGTAGAAAACTCTTTACATATATATGTAGGTAATAAATAGAAACTTACCATATAAAAACTGCCACGCGCGTATGACGAAACGATCAAACAACTTACTAACAACACAAACAAACAAACCGAAACACGTGTAAATTTTACTTTATCGCGAAATACAAGAAATATTGTATTCGAAAACAAACAATTACCATTTTGTTTCAAAATGAGAATACGTTTTGCGAACACCACGTGTTCACTGTCACAAAAAGTCGATACTCGATAATCGATAAAATCGATACGATCGAACGCACGCGGCCTGCCGGCGTTTGTCTCGAAAATAGTGAGGGGCGCGCACGAAATCGAAATATCGATAGATTTATTTTCGAAAACCGTCGCACGTCTAGTATTCGCGACTGCGCAGTGTGGAATGCCGCGCTGTAACTTGCAAAGTGAAGGCACTTTATCAGCTTAACATTTAAGACTGTTATATCAACAATATTGACACTAGTGTTGCTAAATTGTCGACAGTATCGATTTTCGATGATCACGCGTTGTTGGAAATTGTAATTACGTCGTGGGAGTTTTACGGTTATATTTTTATAAGGTAGTACGTTAGATTTGACATATCATAAGAGTCTGTAATAGACCTACATGAATAAAGATATTTTGAATTTGAATATTTTGTTATCAAATTGTCGATGAAATGTAGGTAACTTTTTAAATTGTAATTACATAGTTATGTACATATATATATGTATAGGCAACCTCAGTGGTGTAGCGCTTTAATATACCGCTTTAATTCATATGGTCGCGAGTTTGTTTTCCACGCAAAGATCAATCATTCATGAGTATGATTGTTTGTATCAGTCTGGATATTTTCTATGTATATTATGTATGTAATTACAAAAACATATATGATGATAGTATATCTATTTTGGTGTGAGTTATGTGTAGATTTTCTGGGGATATTGTTATTATATTAACTAGTTGTGCCTGCGGTTTCATACGCATGAAATATATAGCCTATGTATGCCAAAAAGCGTCAAAGAACAAACATCCAAATTCAAATTAAATTTAAATTCAAATTCAAAAATCATTTATTCATGTAGGACATTTTAGCCGCTTATGAACGTCAAGTTTTTACATTAGATTTTTTTTCCCTACCGTCAAGTTCGGTATATAGATCCAATATCCATCCATACTAACGCATACATAACAAACTTTCGCATTTATAATATTAATAAAATATTTTTTTCAAATGTTTGCACTGTTGAGGAATCGAACCCGCGATCATTGGAAGTAAAGCGGCGTGCTAAACCGCTGGACTACGCGCTTTACAAATACCTATGCAATGTTTAACAGATGAATTTATTTGTTATCTGTATGTATAATGCTTTATTTGCAATTTTATTATATTTGTAATAGCTATATTTATTTTAATTACTGATTGTGACGTAAATAGATATTATGCATGCAACATTCAATGACAACCTCGGTGATGTAGCGGTTAGCATGCTGGCTTTCTTTTCAATGGTTGCAGGTTTAATCATATTTTTTTAACCTGTATTTGTCTGTTATTTTTTCATATTACTAACTTTACAGTACATGAAATTGATATTAAATTGTTGTTTTATTACTCCACTAATATTTTCAATTACTAACTGAAAATAATAATATTCTTAATTTATTTAAAACATAACTGTTTTGAAAATAATTAATTAGTGAATAATTTTAATACACCACGGAATTTTTTTTTCAACACACTTGCTCGTAGAGTAGATCTCATTTCACGGGGTTTCGATAAAACAGTTCATAAAACAGGTGTGAGTTATAAACACAAATAGTGAGGTTATATTCCATAACCGCGCTATTTGTTATTTTTCATTATTTGTTATTATTATTATTTCAAATTTCGAAGTGAAGCCAGAAAGCAGTGCACTGATTTAAAAAAGTAAAACGGCGGAAAAGTACCAAAATTTAAATTTCGAATTAACCGCCGCACGCGCCAATCAATAGATAGCGGGTTGATTTAAAAAAGTAAAATGGCGGGAAAGTGCCATAATTCAAAATTTGAAGTGACCGCCGCCCGACGCCTAACAATAGACAGCGCGTTGATTTAAAAAAGTAAAATGGCGGGAAAGTGCCACAATTCAAAACTTGAGGTGACCGCCGCCCGACGCCTAACAATAGACAGCGCGTTGATTTAAAAAAGTAAAACTGCGGAAAAGTGCCAAAGTACAAATTTCGAAGTGACCGGTGCCCGACGCCTATGAATAGACAAACTTTTGAAATCAGCGCGCTGATTTAAAACACAAAAATGGCGGGAAAGTGCCACAATTCAAATTTCGGAGTTACCGCCGCCCGGCACCAGCCAGTGGCCAGCGTGTTGGTTTAAAATAGTAAAAAGGCGAGAAAATGCCAAAATTCAAATTTCGAAGTAACGTTTGTCAAGCGAGTAACAATAGACAGCGCGTTGATTTAAAAAAGTAAAACTGCGGAAAAGTGCCAAAATTCAAATTTCGAAGTGACCGGTGCCCGACGCCAGCTAGTGGGCAGCGTGTTGATTTAAAAAAGTAAAACGGCGGGAAAATGAACATAATATAATAACATGATTTTTTATTGTTTCCTCGCAAGTGTGTTAAAAACGTCGTAGGATATACGTGCGTTTTTAACACACTCGTCTCTATTACGCCTTCGCCTTTGGTTCGTACTGAAATTTCGCCTCGTAATATATAATTCAATTTTTTTTATACTGTGGCAAACAACCATTGACCTGTGACCAACCATTTACTATGACATGGGCCGTATTATGACATGGGCCGTATGCTACGGCCCATGTCATAGTAAATGGTTGGTCTATGGACGCTTGAGACACCAGGGGTATCACGTGCGCGTTGCCGACCCTTAATTAAACCTTTTTTTTTCGGACTACTCTAATGCAGTTGGCCGCAGCTGGCCTTTACAGCTTCACCGGACGATAGGGGGCGAGTGCAGATGGCACTCCAAACCCGCGGAAGGACTTATGGAGCGGCTGAAGGCCAACTCCTGCCTGACGGATACGACTTTAGTCTGAGGGCACCGCTAGGGGTTCGAACCTCGATTCAGGCGTCGTAATTTCGATTCACCTTTGTATTGGGCAGGGGATCGATCGGGGACCTTATGTTGGCGACAGACCTGATTTTATAGCTCTTTTTATTTTTTATATTATTTATTTAAACTCCTTATTGCACCAGACAAATAAAACACACAAAATGATATAATACATAAACTGATACAAAAGGCGGTCTTATCGCTAAGCAATCTCTTCCAGACCAGTAGAGAAAGTAACATTAAGATAAGAAAATGGTAAGTGGTGCATGTAATGAACATAAATATACATTTGTACATAAATATATCTATTAATTCAATTCAAATTCAAATTCAAATTCAAAATATCTTTATTCATGTAGGTCTATTACAGACTCTTATGATATGTCAAATCTACCGTCAGTTCGGAATGATTTCGAGATGAGAAGAACTGACAAGAAACTCAGCTCGTATTTTTTTTTAATGTTGGACCTACATATTTACAATAATACTATTTCATTTAAATTCAAAATTGGGAGAATAGAGTGACCACCAGCATATGCCATAATATATATAATAAAATATAAACATACGTAAATATACATATACTTAATAATGCATATATCTTCAGAAAATATGACAGTAAGTATGAGACAAAGAGGACAATATGAACTTGAAGGGAAAGAAAGTGGGATTTGACAGAGACTTTGAAACTAGCAAGTGAATGCTCTGAATGCAAGGGGGGAGTGCGTTCCATAACCTGACAGCCTGGACAGAAAAGAATTTAGAATAGAAGGAAGTGGAATGAGAGGGATATCTGAGAAGGAGGTTGTTAACATTACGACGGATAGCTACTGTTCTCTTTTTTATTTTTAACCATGTTTTTTACAACTTATACATATAATAAGTTATATATTTTCTGTACTGTTTTTCTACCATATAGTTGTGTCAAGTATAGTATATATGTACTACAAAGTTATGGAGATTTAGTTATTTTATTTAAATCTTCACATAGTATAAAAGTCGCTGTCTGTCCGTCCCTATATATGCTTAAATCTTTAACCACGTAACGGATTTTGAAGCGGTTTTTTAATAGATAGAGTGATTCAAGAGGAAGGTTTATATGTATAATATATGTACACCCGTGCGAAGCCGGGTAGAGTAGCTAGTCACTACATGTTATAAAACAAAATCGCTGTCGCTGTCTGTCTGTCCCTATATATGCTTAAATCTTTAACCACGCAACGGATTTTGAAGCGGTTTTTTAATAGATAGAGTGATTCAAGAAGAAGGTTTATATGTATAATACATGTACACCCGTGCGAAGCCGGGGAGAGTAGCTAGTCACTACATGTTATAAAACAAAATCGCTGTCGCTGTCTGTCTGTCCCTATATATGCTTAAATCTTTAACCACGCAACGGATTTTGAAGCGGTTTTTTAATAGATAGAGTGATTCAAGAAGAATATTTAGTTATATATATCATATATGTACACCCGTGCGACGCCGGGGAGAGTAGCTAGTCACTACATGTTATAAAACAAAATCGCTGTCGCTGTCTGTCTGTCCCTATATATGCTTAAATCTTTAACCACGCAACGGATTTTGGAGCGGTTTTTTAATAGATAGAGTGATTCAAGAGGAAGATTTATATGTATAATACATGTACACCCGTGCGAAGCCGGGGCGAGTAGGTAGTTATTTATAAAAAAAGATATTCACTGGTGTTGCCAGTCGTATTAGAAGGATATTCTTGAAAATAATCTTCAATAATCAGTATTTATATATTTATTGATCGCCATCAATAAATAGATGATCACCAAAATGTATGAACAATCGCGGACAACACTAGTAATAGTAATCCCCTCCGATCGATCCCCCGTCCAATTCAAACGGGGATCGAAATTACCGAGGTTCGAACCCCTAGTGGTGCCCTTAGACTAAAGTCGTATCCGTCAGGCAGGAGTTGGCCTTCAGCCGCTCCATAAGTCCTTCCTTTGGTTTGGAGTGCCATCTGCACTCGCCCCATAACGTCCGGTGAAGCTGTAAAGGCCAGCTACGGCCAACAGCATTAGAGTAGTCCGAAAAAAAAAAAACTAGTAATAGTAATATTATAGAAAAGCGTTTGAAAAAATTCAAGTTAATGCACGCGGTGTCACGGGTTCACTAATGTGACCACCATTTCTATTCAAATCAGGATATTTTTTTTTAATTTTATTATTCAATGCATTTTTACAATAGGCGGGCTTAATGCTATTCGCGTACTCCACTAACCAACTAAGGGTGTTGATATACTTGAGTAATAAGTTATATGTATATGTACAATAATATGTGTATAAAGAAAATGTA